CGCGACGCCGAGGCCCGCCGCGGCCCGCTCCAAAAAGGCCGCGTCGTGGTCGGCCCGCGGCAGGGTCCACCCCGCGACGTCGTCGCGCAGCACGCGCAGGTTCCGCTTCGCGTGGTAGGGCGCGTTGTTGTGGAAGGCGAACCGCTCCGGCGCGTCGCCGAGCCGGAGCGACCGCGCGCACCAGAGCAGGGCCTCGTCGTACTGGGCCGTCGCCGCCGCGACGTGGAAGATGGCGTCGTTCGTGCGCCAGCCCACGGGGCGGTAGAAGTCCCAGGCGTGCTTCACGAAGGTCGCGCGCGGCGCCTCGAGCGGCAGCGCCGCGCGCGCGGACGCGAGCACCGCGCAGCCCGCGGCGCCGACCTCGGAGAGGCGGGCCGGGTCCGGGTGGACCGCGGGGTCCGCGCAGACGACGACGGCGTAGGTCCGTCTATCCCCGATCCAGCGCGCGGACGACAGGAACGCGTTCGTGCCCCCGTAGCACGCGTTCGTCGTGTCCGCGCCTGAGAAACCAAATATGTCGAGCGTATTCACACATAATTTTTTCGCTGTCTCGAAAGCACTCGCCGAGAGGAAACGACCCGTCCAAAAATCAGCCAAAACGACGTCGATTTGACCGAGAGAGAGAAGTTTCGCTGGACCGCCGTTCCACTGTCCGTTTCCGGCGCGGATCCGCGCCCTCGACGTCGCGGTGGTCGCCGAAGAGCGCCATGAGGAAGGACTTGATCGACTTGCCGCGGTCGACGGCGCTCTCCGTGCCGACCTCGAGGCGGCCGATCTCGCCCGTGCCGAGGCGGCAGCGCGCGAGCAGCGACGCGAGCGCGGTCGCGCCGAGGCTCACGGCGTCCTCGTCGTCGCCGCACGCCGTGGCCCGGTCCTGGCCCCGGCCGACCGTGTAGCGGCCGGCGCAGCCGTGGAAGGCCTCGAGCGCCGACGCGGCGACGCAGAGCGACGGCGCGTAGTAGTCGATGGCCGACGCGCCGGGCGACGCGGCCGCCGCGGCCGCCGACGGCCGCGGCGCCGCGCGCGGGCCGGGCCCGCGGTCGACGGCGACGCGCGCGCCCTCGACGACGAGTGGCCCGCAGGCCGCGTCGACGGTCGCGACGCGCGCGTCCCGCGCGACGACGGCCGCGTGGACGCCGCGGGCGCCGCCCGCGGCGTCGACGGCGACGGCGTCGACGGCGACGACGTCGCGCGAGCCCGCGAGCGCGTCCAAGGCGGCGAGCACGGCCTCGGCGTCCGGCGTCGCCGCGAACCGCAGGGCGGCGAGGGTCCGGCCGTCGTGGGCGACCCGGAGGAGCGCGGCGTCCGCGCGGACCTCGGCGAAAAAGACCGCCGAAGGCTCCGCGCGCGCGACGCGCCGCGGCGCGCGCGCCGTCGCCCCCGCGAAAAAGGCGACGTCGCATTCCGGCGCCGGCGCGCGGGCGGCGACCCGCGGGCGGCGGACCGCGGCGCGCCAGAGCGACGCCGCGACGGACGGCGCCGCGGCCGCGGTCCGGCGCGGCGCCGCGGCCGCGCCGTGCGCGATCGTGCCGCTGAAGCCGAAGGAGCTCACGCGGGCTTCGTCGGCCCGCGGCGGCGCGGCGTCGACGGCGCAGCGCGCGAAGGCGCCGTGGGCGCGCAGGTGGTCGTTGAGGCGCCGGAGGCACGCGTTGCGGCCGCCGGCGGCGCCCGCGAGCACCGCGAGGAGGCCCGCGGCGCCCGCGGCGGCCTCGAGGTGGCCCAGGCTCGCCTTGAGGGCCGAGAAGCGCGACGCGTCGCTCCGGGACGCGGCGGCGACGGCGCCGACCTCGACGGGGTCGCCGAGCGCCGTGCCCGTGCCGTGCGCCTCGACCGCCGCGGCGCCGCCGCGGACGCGCGCGACGAGGTCGCGCTGCGCGGCGCCGTTCGGCGCCGTGAGGCTCGCGCTGCGGCCGTCCTGGCGCACGGCCGTCGCCACGGCGGAGCCGGCGCGCCGCCGCGCGAGCGCGAAGGCGCCCGCGCCCTGGCCGCGCGCGTACCCGTCCGCGCCTGGGCAGCAAAAGGGTGATTCAACGTCGCTTCAACATGAGTGTTCGCGCGCGCGCGTTCCCAAAAAAGCATCCATGCTTCGAGACCGTTCCGAGAGATGATCGCTCGCCCAAAAATCAGCCGAAACGAGTGGAAAACGGCCGAGATCGGAGCCTTTGAAGTTGGGAATTTCGCTCTCTTTTCCTGCCCTGGTCCGCGCGCGCGTCCCACGCGTGGCACCGCCCCCGCGGCGAGAGCATGCCCGCGGCGGCGAAGTCGCGCGACTCGGCGCTTCCCAGCGCCGCGGCCGCGACGGCGACGGCGCCGGCGCACTCGCCGCCGCGGAGCGCCGCCGCGGCGACGTGGATTGCGACGAGCGCGGACGAGCACGCGGTGTCGAGCGACGCGCAGGGCCCGGCGAGGCCCAGGGCGTAGGACACGCGGCCGCTGAGCACGGAGAGCGCCGCGGCCGTCGCGGCGTTGACGCCGCCGCCGCCCGCCGCGGCGCCGCCGGATACGCGGCCCATGGCGCCGACGAAGACTCCGACGTCCGCGTCGCGCGGCGCCGTCTCCGCGGCCGCGGCCAGGACGAGGACCGCGTGCGCGTCGAGGCCCGCGGCCTCGGCGCCGGCGACGCGGAAGGCCCGCGCGTCGAAGGCGACCGCGGCGAGGAACGCGCCGTAGCGCGCCGCGGGGGCCTCGCCTTCGAACGCCGTCGACACCGCGGAGCATCCGGTCGCGACGGCGCGCGCGAGACCCCGCGGCCCGCCGCCGGGCAGCGCGCCGCTCGAAAGCTCGATCGCGACGGCGCCGGACGCGGGCGGCGGCGCCCGCGGCGGCGGCGGCGGCGCGGCGTCGCCGCGGAGCGCCGCCAGCGTGCAGCGCTCGAGGAGCAGCGCGGGTGACGAGCCCAGCGCGTCCGCGAGCGCCTGCAGGTCGAGCGAATCGGCGCCGAGCGCGAGGAAGCCGACGTCCGGCTCCGCGACGGCCGCCGGGAACAGCGCGGCGAAGACCTCGACGACGCCCGCCGCCGCGGCGCATGCCTCCGGCTCCGGCGACGGTTCCTCGGCCGCCGCGGCGCCGTCGCCGTCGCGGAGCGCGGCGTACGTGCAGCGCTCGAGGAGCAGCGTCGGCGAGGCGCCCAGCGCGTCGGCGAGGGACTGCAGGTCGAGCGAATCGGCGCCGAGCGCGAGGAAGCCGACGTCGGGCGCCGCGACGGCCGCCGGGAACAGCGCGGCGAAGACGGCGCCGACGCTCGGCGCCGCGCGCGGCGCGCGTGCGGCGGCGTGCGTCAGCGGCGACGGCCGCGCGTCGGCGTCGAGGTCCGCCGCCGCCTTGGCGCGGCCGTTCCGCGCCGGAGCGCAGCGATGGTGGCCGTTCTTGCCGTTCTTCATTGCGACCGCGAGCGCTGCATGCGACCGATGCTGCGGCGACGGACGCGCGCCCGCGGGCGGCGCCCGAAGGGCGCGCGCAGCACGGTCAAACGCGCGCGCGCGATTTGCTTCGGAGACGGGGGCTGCCCCGGCGAGCTGGGAAAGCCAGGAAATAAGCTATCAAAGTTCAATAATTGTTCAATCACACATTCAACTCGCTTCGCGGAATTACGATGGCAGCCCTCAAGCTCGCCGTCGTCGGCGCGCTGGGCCTGGTCCTCGGCTTCCTCGGCGGCAAGTTCGACTTCGAGGACGGCGTGCTGCCGCCCTGGCCGCTGTTCACGGTCGGCGTCGCCGTCAACGACGCCCTCGCGGCCGCCTTCGAGGCCACGACGCCGCCGAAGGTGCGCGCCATCGACCTGGCGACGGGCTACTGGCAGAGCAGCGTCACCTACGCCGTCGTGAAGCACGGCATCGTCGACGCCGTCGCCGGCGGCGAGGCCACCTGCGAGGGCGTCGCGGCCGCGCGCGCGCTCGCCGCGGGCTACTGCTGCCGCTACATGGCCGCGGCCGCGGAGCTCGGCATCTTCGCGCGGTCCGGCGACGCCTACGCGCTCACGGCCGTCGGCGCCGCCGTGTCCGACGGCGCCGACTCCATGCGCGACTTCGTGCTCATGATCAACGAGGAGTCGGCGGCCGCGTGGCGCGCGACGGCGGCGACGTCGATGGCGTCCGGCGCGAGCGGCTTCCGCGAGGCCTTCGGGTCCGACTTCTTCGAGTGGCACGCGGAGCGAACCCACGCGGCCCAGTGGGCCCAGTTCGACCGGGCCATGGGCGCCATGTCCGCGGACCTCACGTCCGCGCTCGCCGCGGACTACGCGGTGCCCCCGGCCTCGACGATCTGCGACGTCGGCGGCGGCCGGGGCCACGTGCTCGCCAAGTTCCTCGACCGCCACGACAACGCGTCGGGCCTCGTCCTCGACCTCCCGGACGCCGCGGACCGCGCGACCGAAAACCTCGCGCGCTTCGGGGGCCGCGGCGCGGCCGTCGGCGGCTCCTTCTTCGACGCCTTCCCGCCGGCCTTCCGCGCCTGCGACGTCTTCGTCGTCCGCGGCGTCCTCATGGACTGGCCCGACGCCGAGGCGACGACGATCCTCCGCCGCGTCGCCGAGGCCGCGAAACCGGGCGCGAAGCTCGTCGTCAACGAGTTCGTGCTGGGCACCGCGGGCAAGATGATGGAGCGCGCCAAGCACCTCATGGACCTCAACATGGCCGCGTCCTGCGCGCCGGGCGCGCGCGTCCGCGCCGTCGCCGACCACCGCGCGCTCCTCGAGGCCGCGGGCGTCGACCTCGCGTCCTTTTCGCACCTGCGCATACGCTCCATCGTCGACGTCCTCGAGGTCACGTTCTAAATTCGAAGCAAGGGTTTTTTTTTGGGGGGCGGTGCGTGGGGCTTTTCCATACTGCTCCGGAGTTCAACTAAGTTGTTGAAGTTGGATGCGCCGCAAATTCTCGCCACAAGCCATCCAATCGGCACCACCCGACGCCGTACGCAAAACATTGTGCGCGCGGTGTGACCGCGCGCCGCCGTGACTCGTCATGGAGTACGAGCCGAACGACGATGAACCGACCGACTTCGACATGCAGCCGCACCTGTCGCACGACGAGCTGCACACCGTCGACGTGCTCAAGTCGCTGGCCTGCCCGTCCTTCGACGACGGCGACGACAAGCCGCTGAAGCGGCGGAGCAGCTGGAAGGAGGAGCACGCCGGGCTGAACCCGCCGAGCCCCCTCGCGCGCGCGTCGTCCGGCTGCCTCGACTTCCCGTCGGACGGCGGCGGCTCGGAGCCGGAGCGCGACGCGGACGAGGTCGACGACATCCTGCGCGCGAGCGTCAAGGGCGACGTGAGCCGGCTGCTGCCCGAGGTGTCGCGCGCGGCGCTCATCGAGCGCCTGCGCACGGACCTCTTCGAGGCGCAGGAGAAGAAGGAGGCCGGCGACGACGACGCCGCGTCGGCGCCGGGCTTCGCGACGCCGCCGGCCGCGTCCGTGTCGCCGCGCGAGGCGGACGACAAGGCCGAGGCCGCGCCGGCGGCGGGCGAGGAGAAGCTGGGCACGTTCAAGGGCGTCTTCCTGCCCTGCCTCCAGAACATCCTCGGCGTCATCCTCTTCCTGCGGCTGTGCTGGATCACGGGCCAGGCCGGCGCGCTCGGCGCGACGGGCATCGTGCTCATCTGCGCGACGTCGACGTTCCTGACGGCGCTGTCGCTGAGCGCCGTGGCGACGAACGGCAAGGTCGAGGCCGGCGGGCCCTATTTCGTGATCTCGCGGAATCTCGGGCCCGAGGTCGGCACGGCCGTCGGGCTCCTCTTCTACCTGGGCACGACCATCGCCGCGTCCATGTACGTGCTCGGCGCCGTCGAGGCGCTCTACGACGGCTTCGCGGGCGCGACGCGGAGCGCGGACTTCCCGCTGCGGTCCGTGCTCACCGCGCTCGCGATGATGGCGCTCCTCGCGGCCATCGTCCACGTCGGCGTGAAGCAGGTCAACGCGGCGGCGTCCGTGTTCCTGAGCATCGTGCTCCTGTCCGTGTTCTGCCTCATCATGGGCATCCTGCTCTTCGCGGGCGACGCGTACAGCGGCGAGCTCGGCGGCGGGGACCGCGACTTCTTCGACAACGTGAAGCCCAACTTCGAGGAGGACGACGGCGTCCAATGGGACTTTCGGAGCCTCCTGGCCATCTTCTACCCGTCGGTGACGGGCATCATGGCCGGGTCGAACCGGTCCGGCGTGCTCGCGACGCCGTCGAAGAGCATCCCGCTCGGCACGCTCGCGGCCATCGCGCTGACGACGTTCCTCTACGTCGTCGTCGTCTGGCTCTACGGCCTGGTCGTCGCCCACGACGTGCTCATCGAGGAGAAGCTCGTCGTCGCGCTCGTCGCGTGGCCGAGCCCGATCATCGTGAAGCTCGGCATCATCATGTCGTGCGTGGGGGCGGCCCTGCAGTCGCTGACGGGCGCGCCGCGCCTCCTCGCGGCCATCGCGAGCGACGGCGCCCTGCCCGTGCTGGCGGCCTTCGCGCCGCCGTCGGACGCGCCGAAGCAGAAGCCCGCGGCGCCGGCGCCGGCCGAGGACCGGCTCGAGGGCGAGTCCGGCGTGCAGCTGCTGCCCAAGGTGAGCTCCGGGTCGCGGCTCTCGTCGCTCCTGACCCAGTTCCAGAAGCCCGACGGCGCGGACGTCGAGGCGCCGCCGCCGCCGCCGCCGCCGGACGAGCCGCCGCGGACCGCGTCGCCGCGGTCGCGCGGCGGGTCGCACCCGGCGAGCCCGCGCTTCTCCACGGCCCTGGGCCGCAGCAGCGCGGCGTCGGCGAGCAGCGTCGACGCGGGCTGGCCCGCGCTGGCGCTGACCTGGTTCGTCGCGTCGATCCCCTGCTTGGCGGGCGAGCTCAACGCGATCACGCCGATCGTGACCATGTTCTTCCTGCTGATGTACGCGACGGTGAACCTGTCCTGCTTCTGCCTCGCCTACCTCAAGTCGCCGGGCTTCCGGCCGACCTGGCGCTACTTCCACTGGTCGTCGGCGCTCCTCGGGTTCTTCTGGTGCGTCGGCCTCATGTTCACGATCAGCTGGCGGGGTTTGGAGGCGACGCTCGCGCTCATCTTCGCCTTCTCCATCATGTACTACGTGCGCAAGCAGCGCATTAGCAAGGACTGGGGCGACGCCGGCGCGGGGCTGCGCTTCCAGGTCGCGCGGGACCAGCTGTTGGCGCTCACGGAGCGGTCGACGTTCTACCCAGGGCAGGAAAAGAGTGCGAAATTCCCAACTTCAATGGCTCCTCTCTCGGCCGTTTTCCACTCGTTTCGGCTGATTTTTGGACGAGCGATCATCTCTCGGAACGGTCTCGAAGCATGGATGCTTTTTCCGGAGCGCGCGCGCGCGGAACACTCACGTTGAAGCGACGTTGAATCTCTCTTGTCCCGCCCAGGTTCTACCACGCGAAGAACTGGCGGCCGCAGATCCTCGTGCTCTGCCGCTGCGACCGGCGCTTCAACCCCGTCAAGCCCGAGTTGTTGGCCGTGGCGGGCCACCTGAAGAAGGGCCAGGGGTTGCTCATGGCCCACGCGCTCATCGACGCGGGCGACCGCGGCGCGCGCGCGTTGGTCGCCGAGGCGGCGACGGAGGTGCTCCGGCTCCACCTCCAGGACCGGGCCATCCAGGGCTTCCCGCGGGCCATCGTCTACCGCGCCAACGCCGAGCTCCCGACGCAGACGGAGGACGCGCTCCTGGGCACGGCGCAGTCGTGCGGCGTCGGCGCGATGCGGCCCAACTCCGTGCTTCTCGGGTGGCCGTCGAAGTACCGCGGCGACGAGGTCAAGAAGGGGCGCCACGGCTTCGTGCGCCTCCTGCGCGACCTCAGCGCCATGCGCAAGGCGTTGATCGTCGTCAAGGACGGCGCGAGCTTGGCGGGCCGCGAGCCCTTCGACGCGACGCGGACCGTCGACGTCTGGTGGGTCGCTGTGTGGAAATCAAATCTTCAACCCGACTTCAATGTGAGCGTATTCGAATGTTTTGACACAAGTTCTTCGGCTGGGCTTCGAGAACTCGACGAGAGCGATCGATCCGTCCAAAAATCAGCCGAATCGACTTCGGTTTGACCGAACTAGAGAATTCTCAAGTTTGGTCAGGACCACCCAAACCAGTGGTTGGTTTCCACACAGGTGGGTCGTGCAGGACGGCGGGCTCCTATTATTACTCCCCTGGCTCCTCAAGCGGTCCAAGCTCTTCGGCCGCTGCCGCCTGCGCCTCTTCGCCGTGATGACGGGCCTCTTCGCGCACCACTGGAACGCGGGCCACGGCGGCTCGGCGACCATTCCCTCGGCGCGGCCCGAGGGCGCGGACCCGGACGCGAAGGCGCCGCCGCCGGCGAAGGAGACGGAGCTCCTGGAGCGCTGGCGCTTGTTCATCCAGGCCATGCTCGACGACCTGCGCATCGACGCGGAGGTGCACCCCGTCGCGGGGTTGGACTTTGTCTGGGCGGCCGCGCACGTCTACCGCGACACGCTGGGGCTGCGCGGGCGGACGACGTACGCGCAGCAGCTCGGCGAGAAGAAGAAGAAGGCCGGGGCGGCGGCGGGCGCGAGCCTGAGCGGCGCGTCGACGCCCGCACTCGCGTCGCCGTCCGCGGGCGCCGGCGCGCGCGGGTCGTCGCCGGGGCCCTTCCGGGCCCGCCGCGCGCCGTCGAACCAGGGCTCGCCGCTCCACTCGCGGCCGGGGTCCCTCCCGGACTCGCCGGGCGACGCCGACGCCGACGGCGCGCTCCACCGGTCGCCCGTCATCCCGGACGAGAACTCGCTCACGCCGCTCCACGGCTTCGCGCTCGCGCTCAACTCGAAGATGCGCCGCCACAGCGCCAAGAGCGCGCTCATCGTCACGAACCTGCCCTACATGACCCACCTCCCGCCCGCCTTCTTCGTCGACTACGTCGACTCCCTCACCGCGAACCTCGGCGCCGTCATGCTCGTCCGCGGGAGCGGCCAGGAGGTCGTCACGCAGTACGGCTAGCGTAAGGCAACTTGCACTGCAACAAAGCGAGTCGTGATGATGTTGAGCCGCCAAAACCAGAGACCGACGATAGCCAGCGTGCCTCGCTCAGCGTGCCTCTGCTAGCGCGAGCCCGCGGCCGTCTCTCCTAGCGCGCGACGTCAGGTGGCGCGTCGCCATGAGCGGCTTCGGCGACGACGGGTTCGGCGACTTCTCGGCCTTCGAGGCCGCGCCCAGCGGCGCGGCGGCGGCGGCTCCGCCCGGCGGCGCGTTCGACGACGAGCCGGCGGAGGACTTTAGCGACTTCGACGCGCAGCCGGCCGAGGACTTTAGCGACTTCGACGCCGTCGCGGCCGCGCCGTTCCCGGACGGGCTCGCGTCGTCCGGCGCCGCGGAGCCCGCGGCCTTCGGCGCCTTCGACGGCGCGGCGGCGCCGCCCGCGGCTTTCGGCGCCTTCGACGGCGCGGCGGCGGAGCCCGCGGCCTTCGGCGCCTTCGACGGCGCGGCGGCGGCGCCCGCCGCGGAGGAGTTCGGCGACTTCGGCGCCTTCGAGGACGCGCCGGTCGCGCCGACCGGGGGCGCCGACCGCTTCAGCGCCTTCGACGACCTCGTGGAGCCGCCGGAGCCCGAGCCGCCGGCGCCCGAGCCGCCGGCGCCCCCGGCCGCGGCCGAAGGCTTCGGCGGCTTCGACGGCGCGGCGGCGCCGGCCGCGGCCGAGGACTTCGGCGGCTTCGACGCGGCGCCCGCGGCCGAAGGCTTCGGCGGCCTCGACGGCGCGGCGGCGCCGCCCGCGGTCGAGGACTTTGGCGGCTTCGACGCGGCGCCCGCGGCGGAGGACTTCGGCGGCTTCGACGCGGCGCCCGCGGCGCCGTCGCCGCCGGCCGACGCCTTCGGCGCCTTCGACGCCCCCGCGGCGCCGCCCGCGGCGCCCGCGGCCGACGACGGCTTCGGCGCCTTCGACGCCGCGCCGGTCGCGGTCGCGCGCGCCGCGGCGCCGGAGCCACCGGCGGACGCCGTCGGCGCCGCGTGGCTCCTGGGCCGGTGCGGCGCGCTCGGGTCGGGCCTCGGCGCGGTCGACGTCGCGCTCGGCGTGCTCGACGCGGCGCGGCAGTCCGACGCGGGCATGCAGGGCGCGCTCACGGAGCTCCTCGGCTTCGGCGACGCGGCCCTGGCGCTCATGGGCGAGCTCTGCGAGAAGAAGGCGGCCGTCGCGGCCATCGACGCGCGCGACGTCCGCGCGGCCGCCGCGGCCGCCCCCGCCGCGGCCGCGGCCGCGCCGCCGCCGGACACCGCGCCGGCCGGCGGCGGCTTCGGCGCCTTCGACGAGCTCGCGCCGCCGGCGGAGCCCGCGGCCGCCGACGGCTTCGGCGCCTTCGACGACGCGCCGCCGCCGACTGCCGACGGCTTCGGCGCCTTCGACGACGCGCCGGCGCCGGCGGAGCCCGCGGTCCGAGCGGACGACGCCCGCGATGACGAATCCACGGGGCCCGTGGACGACGGCTTCGGCGCCTTCGACGACGCGCCGGCTGTCGCCCCGCCCGACGACGGTTTCAGCGCCTTTGACGATATTCCGGTCGCGCCGGCGGAGCCCGCGGTCGCGCCGGCCGCCGACGACGGCTTTAGCGCTTTCGACGAGGTTCCAGCGGCGCTGGCGGAGCCCGCGGCGGCCGACGACGGTTTCGGCGCCTTCGACGACGTTCCGACGGAGCCCGCGTCGGCCCCGGTTGCGGACGACGCTTTCGGCGCCTTCGACGACGTTCCAGCGGCGCCGGCGGAGCCCGCCCTCGGTGCTGACGACGGCTTCGGAGCTTTTGATGACGTTCCAGCGGCGCCGGCGGAGCCCGCGGCGGCCGACGATGGGTTTAGCGCGTTCGACGACATTCCGGTAGAGCCCGCGTCTGCCCCGGTCGCCGACAACGGCTTTAGCGCTTTTGACGACGTTCCAGCGGCGCCGGCGGAGCCCGCTGTCGGTGCCGACGATGGCTTTGGTGCTTTCGACGACGTTCCAGCGGCGCCGGCGGAGCCCGCGGTGCCCCCGGCTGCTGACGAAGGATTTAGTGCCTTTGATGACATTCCCGTGGCACCGGCGGAGCCCGCCGCTGCTGATGCCGCCGACGGCTTAGGTGCGTTTGATGACGTCTCAACGGGTGCCGAGGAGCCCGCGGTGGCCGCGGCTACCGACGACGGCTTCGAGGCTTTCGATGACATCCCAACGGCACCGACAGAGCCCGCAGTCGCGGATGCCGACGGTGGCCTTGGCGCCTTCGACGACGTTCCAGCTGTTCCGGCGGAGCCCGCGGCAGCCGACGACGGTTTCAGCGCGTTCGACGACATTCCAGCGGAGCCCGCAGAGCCTGCAGTCGCCCCGCCTGACGACGGCTTTAGCGCCTTCGACGACGCTCCGGTGGTGCCGGCGGAGCCCGTCGTTGCCTCGCTTGACGACGGCTTTAGCGCCTTCGACGACGTCCCCGCGGCGCCGGCGGAGCCCGTGGCACCTCCAGCTGCTGACGACGGCTTTGATGCTTTCGACGACGTCCCCGCGGCGCCGGCGGAGCCCACGGTGCCCGCCGCTGCTGACGACGGCTTCAGCGCCTTCGACGACGTCCCCGCGGTCCCCGCGGAACCGGCGGAGCCCGCGGTGCCTGCCACGACGGATGACGGCTTTAACGCCTTCGACGACGTCCCCGCGACGCCGGCGGAGCCCGCCGCTGCTGATGCGGCCGACGGCTTTAGCGCCTTCGACGACGTTTCCGCGGCGCCGGCGGAGCCCGCGGTGGCCGCCGCTGCTGACGATGGCTTTGGCGCCTTCGACGACGTTCCCGCGGCGCCCGCGGAGCCCGTGGCACCTCCAGCTGCTGACGACGGCTTTGATGCTTTCGACGACGTCCCCGCGGCGCCGTCGGAGCCCGTCATTGCCCCGCCCGACGACGGCTTTAGTGCGTTCGACGACGTTCCCGCGGCGCCGGCGGAGCCCGCGATGCCCGCCGCCGCTGACGACGGCTTCAGCGCCTTCGACGACGTCCCCGCGGCGCCGGCGGAGCTCGCGGTGCCCGCCGCCGCTGACGACGGCTTCAGCGCCTTCGACGACGTCGCCGCGACGCCGGTGGAGCCCGCGGAGCCCGCCACCGCTGACGACGGCTTTAGCGCCTTCGACGACGTCGCCACGGCGCCGGTGGAGCCCGCGGAGCCCGCCACCGCTGACGACGGCTTTAGCGCCTTCGACGACGTCTCCGCGGCG